CCGATCACCTACGCTCCGCTTCCTCAAATGACAACATTGGACGAGGCCGGTCATGGGGCCTTTCCTACTATAGCGGAACATGTAAAAAGCCCTACCAGATGCGACGACAGTCTGGAAGTATCGAGGCATTCCTCAAAGACAGTTCCCGTGCTCGATTTGTGCAATTAGTCTGATCCTCACTCTAAAGTTATCCCACTTTCGCGGCTTCTCACTAAATGACGGAGGCACTGTGACCCTCTTAACACCAACTCTGACGCCTTCCTAGTTGCCCCGCCCACTAAAATTCAAACGCTATTTTATGTAACGAGTTCGGTTTTCGCAGTTTTTTTTTACACCGTTAGATGGTATTAGCATTTCATGACCCGAAGAGACGATTGGTGAGCCAAAGGCGGCAGGATATTAGTTTGCTGCAATAAAATGAACTGGCCCGGGGGCAGGTCTGGAGAGGCTGCCAGGTCATTACTGGGGCTCTTCATAACTCTTATTGTTTTCATACTTAACTGGGGAGTCAGTTAGCGACTACAGGTCTATATTGAAACACCACTATCCACAATATACAATCGCGGGTGGATCTTTCAGATTTGAGCTTGGAAATTTCTCATACGCCGAACGTTCATGTTTCAGTGGCTCATGTCTAACACCCTTGTTTAGAACAAAAATGAAGTTATTAAAGCACCTCCCTATAGTTCCTAGAAGCTGCATTTGGATTTTTCTTGTGTTCATCTGTTAGAATGTTTTTAGTAATAGCTGATTGAAGACTGTTTCAGAAATTCAGATGAACTCCCATGATGGTTCAAGATCACTGAGATCTGAACCGAATTATGGTGCAGCTGAACAAAATGAAGAACGAAGTATGGATGTGGAATTTGCTGAGATCTCAGAGCAAGTTTCATCGTGTGAGTCGCTTTCCAAATTTCGCATGCTTGATCGTTTCCGCTGAAAAGCGTGCTTTGAACGTTACCAACATCGAAAACGACAGCTTCTACTATTTAATACCTTCTACAAAGAACACCACACGTAATACAAAAGATTTCTACAAAAACCAATTCTTTCATTATCTTCCCTTACAAATGAGAAGTTTGCTGATGGTATGTAACTTGCAGGATTTTGGTGGACTCTGCGGGGTGGTGGATTAGAGGTCACAGTTACCGCGCCACATAGGGGAAGATTAGTGTTCGAAGAATGGCGGCCTGTATGGCCCTGAGACCAGCACTATTCAATTGTAGTTCCTTCTTGTCGGCTTAGGTAAATCCACTGGGAAACCGTAGTGGGTAATGTCAGGTTGGAAAAAATGTGTTGCAGCGCCTTTCAACGAAATTTCAGACTGGCTTCCCTGTCACTGACCGATACCATCAAGCAACAGAGCGCTCACCATTAACAGCTTAGGGCATGCACCCGTATTTCGGGTAGCTCGCAAATCCATTCTGCCTGAGCTGCGATAGCCCAGATTAAAAACAGAGGTGAAACTTCATTCCCGAGAAGAAGCTGATTATCGGATTTTTTCGATTTCTAATGGATGCAGAAGGGACGGGTGATAGTGCACTGCTGCTAACCTGGTGAATAAGGTGGGTGCAGCCCTGTCACTCCTGATCGGAAATCACAATCGTCTGGCATACCTTCGTATCGCCACAGGCGAGCTCGCGGTGTGGCGGAATATGAAGATATTTGGTCATCTTGATAGGATTTACCGGAGTATTTAGGCCGTCTTCTGAAGTTCTTTAAAGTAGACCATATGTATCGTCGCTGTACTATTAGGTTGGTTTTTAACTAATGGCGTTTTTTCTCGCTCAAAATTCCGCCCTCAAGAAAAAAAATTTGCTATCGCCTTCCATACTATTTTACAGAGAACTTCTTGCCCTATGTAATAATCCTCTTGGTTTTCTTCCAATGTTTTTTTTCTACCTGTTTTTAAGTGCTCAATTTGGAGCGCCAGGTCGACGAAATTGAGCTTTTTTCGACAGCCTTCCTTTTTTAACTTCAATTTAAAAAGCTAGAACCGCACAGGCCCATTGTTAAGTAAATATTTGGTCGGAAGGCTGTGTCTCTTAGAAATGCTTGCAACGGTTCAGGGATTGAAATAGTTCAATTTCGACCTTACAGACAAGCAAGAACCTAATGCCCAACTAAGTCCTGTGAGCTTACTGAAACACCTTATTCATAGAAATTCATGCCAAAGAACGAAGAAATGGTAGACGTCGTGGAATGCTTCTGTCTGCGTCCTCATTGAGCGTCACCTTCTCTTGATAGGGGATTTTTACAATTGAAGCTCTGCAGGCAGACGATCCTCAAGAGGACGCTTCATGGGGTTAACATTTATAAGGTCTGAACTCCCAACTCTGATTCGCCTGAACCAGTCTAAAACCAATCCTATGGAGCACCGTTCCTCGTTCATATGCATCACATCTTTTCAGCTTCTTCTGCCAGAACTTGAGAGCCTAGATCAAGAGCAAAACGTTTTTGTCAGAAACTCACATTCGTGTCGACTCGACTTTCCATTTCAATGAAAAAAAATCGACAAATATCAAGAAATGATAGGGAAACTCTTTTTCAAGCCGGTCTGCTTTTGACTGTGCTAGCGGCTTTTCTTATTTTTTCTTATTGAGAGATGCTGTTGTCAGAATGATGCGACTCATGTTACACTCATCCAAATTTTTCCCCATTCCGAGGGCTTGCAGAGAAACATGATAGTTGTCATTTGGGTGCAGCCTAGAGATGTTGCCAACTTAGTGGTGATCATGTTCGGGAGTGTTTTCGGCGAGTTGCGTAAATGGTCATCATTCCTGTCCGGTAACCGACCAATACGTTACCTTCTTTTGAAAGGCATCCTTTCTGAAAACAGCGCAGGTGTAAGCGCCCTCGATACGACAGAGTGGCCATACATGGTCTTAAAATAGAGAAAGTCAGAAAGCACTTCGACTCTCGGAGGACTTCCAGGATCTAAGAGCTTCCACAAAGTCATAACAATCCCGTCTGCAGAAATGCTAGAGAACAACAAATCCCGTCTGCAGAAATGCTAGAGAACAGTTTCCAGTAACTAGGGGCAAACGAGTCTGAAACAGTTTGCTTTTCTGCAGCAACGACTTGTTTAGAGTTCGCGAGACTTTCTATCCAGCCCATAGCACCAAATTACTAGCAACTATTTTCATCATTTTTTTTCTTTAGTAATCAAAACCCAGCTCCCTATTAAGCCCATTGGCTTTAACTGGTCAATGAATATCCTGCTACGTTTGCTTATTGTTTAGATCGCGGGCCGTATACTGGGTTAGCATAAATAAATAAAATAAGTAAATGAACAACTAGCAGACCAAATTTTTTATAAAACGCAAGGAGGCGAAATAAGCATTTTTTGGACAGTTTTTTGGATGCATATGCCGCCCGCTAGTACTCCAAACCCTTGTTAAATGATATCTTGATACCGTTAGCAGCTATTTCGGTCATAATCAAACAGGAATGAGTTGACGGAATGTTTCAGGCATGGTTTTCTTGGCGGAAACTGTGGGCTTTTACGGGTCCTGGATTTCTCATGAGTATAGCATATCTCGATCCAGGGAATATCGAAAGTGATCTGCAATCTGGAGCGAAAGCACAGTATAAGGTGAGGAGTAGTGGACTGTTTTCCTCTCACAACGTTCATAAATATACCACATTATGCACGTGTATTATATTCTGTTTCGTTTGTCTTATGAACACTTAAAGCACCCATTTAGACTGTGTGCGCAATCTTCTAGACCTTTACTTAAAAGCGTTCACACTTCCGGCGACGCGGCGCTTCGGTCGCAGGCGTCTAGCGATTGATCGCGCATCTGCTGGATGGGTAGGCGCGAGTGATAGATCGTGCCCAATACGAAATCGATTGGACGGATGCTATTAACATAAAATTCCTGGTCGATCCGGTTCGGCTACTTTTTCCTTATTTTTTTCCTTGCTTCGTACCCTCCCCTTACTTCTGGCATGTTTTTTCATCTTTCCGGCACATTTTTTTAAATCTGTTCGCAATGTTGTCGGTTTCTATTTTTTTAAACCTTTAACAATTCGAAATTTTCAGATGAATTATTTTCGGATGGAGGGCCGTGTTGAGCGCGCGCACTTTTTATATTTCTTAGGTGTTCTTCAGGTTTCCTGTAGTTTTGTTATCTTTTTGATGAACTGGTGAACTGCCGGAAAAGCGTAGTTTTGGTTATCTTTTTGATGAACTGGTGAACTGCCGGAAAAGCTAAACACAGTATGATTAATAAGAATGAAGAAGGTACACCAAAACACAGAACGCTGAAACACCTCAAAATAGGGAAGTGCACGCACCTCAACTGACCGTCCATTCAAAGAATCTCGCATGTACTGAAGGTGAACACTAGAGCAGATCAAGAAAATAGTGGCAGGAAGATGAAAAAACAAGTTAGAAGCTAACGGGAGGAGAAAGAAGGAAAAAGTAAGCGAATACGGCTGTGAATTAGCATCCGTCCAGTCGATTTTTGCATTGGAGCGCGATCTAATCAGTCGCGCTACACAGTCGTACGCTAGCGCGACGCGATCGTACGCTCGAGCGATCGACGCATCGTACGCTAGCGCGATCGATCGCTCGAACGCGCGATCGAAGCGCCGCCGTCGCGAAGTCTGAACGCTGCCTAGCAGACGGTCCAGTTAGCATCTTTCTTTTCTTCTTCTCCTTCAGCCCTTATCCGCCTCTGTGGCGGTGTCCGCTCTTCTGATATGATGACACCACTTATACCTGGTCGTGATGAATGCGATCTATTTTCTAGTCCATATGCAGCATATCTCGCCAGCACTGTTTGGGACGTCCTTTGGGCCTTTTCCAGGCACCTTGAACTAAAGGCTAGCGCGGCACTATTCCATCTTCTCCAGAAGCTCGAAAAATTTTTTCGCCGAAGCCCTGCCTGTAGGTGTTATTCGTCCTGTTCACGAAAATAACAAAAGTTTTGGCGCCATTTGGCACCAACAGATGTCATTTGGCCCCACCACCTTTTTCACCAGAATCGATGAAAACTTGCATAATAGGATTGGTGTTAACCTTATTCACGAAAATGACATTCATTTTTCGACACCAGCGAAATGTATTACTATGCTAAGGTTGAGCCTGGGAGAAGGAGTGATTCCCTTCCCGCCAGAATCACCCTTAGCAGAGCCCAGATGACAGAGTGCCCTACATTGGTGCCGGCGCCATGAATGAAAGTCATAGTCGTGATCAGACTGCCAAATAACCGTCGTATACAATTTCGGCGCTGCTTTGGCTCAGGTCTTCTCCAGGAATGCTCCGCACTGTTCTTACCCTTACCATTCCTTACCTGTTCTTTTTTTGAGGAGGTCTGTCATGTCACCAGGATTGACCTGTGCTAAGGGCCCAGCTCCTCCCCAGGCAATACTTTGATATCCTTGACGGTTCTAAGAGATGGTCTTTTCTCCTGCACATGGCCGAAATCCGTTTTTCTCCCTTCACTGTTGTCAAATATTTCGAGATAAGTATCTCGTGCTTCAGTTCTGCCCAATATGACGGGTCTCAAAAACCACGAGGTCCCAACTCCCTCTGACTATGTTCACTCTTCTCTGAGAATTTGTCGCCGCGAGGGCTAATGCTCTCTCTCATGTTGACGCTTGGAGTTTTCATATATCCGGCATGACTCCAGGAAATAGTTCTGGTGCGCAGCGCTTTGCTGTTACTTGCATTTTTTGTAGCATCTCTGTGCTGACTACAGAACAAAGCATTCCTCCGTTTGTCGCTCTCTGTAATCACATCCTGTAGAGAATTTTTTGCACTAGTGATGGATTGTCGTTTCAAGGCGCCCGTTGGCTTGATGATCCCCTTTCCCACGACTCAGTTGAAGCTGTCCAAAGAGGCAGCTAGGACGATATTTTTCTTCAACTACAAGTGGGGTCAATCCGCAGTCGAGACAGCTCGAAAAATTAACCAGGTGTGGGGGCCCAATAGTGTTGGAGAAAGCACCGTGCGACAATGGTTCGACAAATTTCGTTCTGGAGATTTCAGCCTTGAAGATGAACCTCGTAGCGGTCGACCTAAAGCAATACCTGACGAGGATTTGAAGGCGTTTGGAGGCTGACCCATCCCAAACAGTTCGAGAGATTGCAGAAAAGCTAGGCGTTGGCAAATCCACTGTTGCGGATGGTCTGAACGCATTGGGAAGGTGAAAAAACTCGACAAGTGGGTGCCCCACAGCTCAATTACAATTGACGCGGGCATGCAACATATGGCCCCGTCCTCGAGTGTTCTCTTTCACTGCTTTTTGCGCAACAAGAAAAAAGCGACGCTTTTTGACGAATTGTCACCTGTGATGAAAAGGTGTGATCATCGGTATGATAAGAGGCGAAGATCGGTGTGTCCGTCGGCCAGAGTGGTTGATGCGGACGAACTACCAGCGAAAGGTCACATTTGAACAACATTCCTCACAGAACAAAGATTCTGGTCATAGTGTGGGTGGTCATCGGTTGGTGTGTTCCACTATAGACTTTGTTATCACTCCATTGCGGGCACCATCCGTTAGAGAGCCGGCACCACAGACACCGGCAGAACCCTAATGTGAAGAAAGAGACTAAATCATTATATCCGTCGGAAAAGATTATGCCAATGCAGCTGCAGCCAACACTTATCAAAAGAAAGGGTCCGATTCTTTTGCATGACAACGCCCGCCCACACGTTTCACAAATCACTATCCATAAATTGAACGAATTGGGGTTGAAGTTCTACAAGTCACCACCTCAATATTCTCCAGACCTTTCACCAACCGGATATCACCTTTTAAAACATTTTCAGAGCATCCTTGCTGGAAAATACTTCATCAATCAGGACCAGGCAAAAAAGCCTTCGTGGATTTCGTGGATTCTCGACCACCCAGTTTTTCCTTTGATGGGATTTCTCGACTGGTGTCACATTGGCAAAAGTGTGCTGATTCCGGAACGGCGTAGCTATGAAACGTTTTCCCGCATTAAATCTGATGAGTATTAGAAGGAGGTTATGATCGTCCTTCAGGACGTGAGAACACCTAACGCTGAGAATTTCGCTGGACACCCTAATAATTCTGTGGGATAAGCACGCGCCCATTTAATGAGGTTTCGGGTGTGTTCTGCCCATCATTTGCTCCGCGCCGCGAACGCCTTGCTAATACTTTCCCATTTCCCGCATCTATGAGCCGGTTTGGGAAGCAAATTGTGAATTTTCGTCTGGATCACCAAACCCTATGATAGCCCGTCTGTGGGCGTAGACCCAGGACGGGGCTCATCATAGGTTATACCGATTCGTGTCCCAGTGGCCTGCCTGCTCATCCCAGCTCTCATTCGAGCACTCCTCTCGCTCTGCAGGTTAAAGCGAATCCAGACAAACAAACAAATGTAGAAATTTATGGTTCTTAATGGTTTTTTATGGTTTCATTTACAGTTATTATGGGTGTTACTTTCCGCTCATATTACTGGGATGTTACTGCAACGAATGTCAGCTCGATTAGGAGTTGTAAGTGGAAAGGACATGGCCGAAGTAAGAATAATTTTATTTTTTATTTACATTCAATCGTGTTCTGCGGATGCGAGGGCGTGTTAGTGGATTAGGCATGGTTAACTTGCCAGTTTTTATTGGTCGAGAACGTGTTGCGCGCCATACCCAGCTTCTCCCCCCCCCCACCTGTCCGCCTCAGCATCCGCAACCAGCAAGACGTAATTATCACATTCTGTTTCGGAGCTTAATTTCGGTCTTATCGATTACCCTCCATGCTGCCTCTTCTTCGCTCAGTTTCAGAAAATTTCGAGATTCTGGGGTCCCCGTAGTGGAACTGCTTAAACAAGAAATTTGGAGGTGGCCGCCCGGAACCACGACCCTTTCCTCCAGAACTGTGTAAGTCCTTTCGTGGGGGAAAGTAGCCAGTTTGGTAGCCGCACAAAATGTCTTCATTTTGAGGTCCCACACTCCGCGATATAGAAAAATTTCATGATGGGAGCACAATAACTAGTTGGTAAAATTATCTTTCATCCGAATCGCGGTTCATTACTGGCCCTAATGCTGGCCCTGCACCGCTAGCCTAATGCTAAGCAACTCCGCAGCCAAGCATAAATACAAGATTCAAAAAATAGCTAATTAGAAGTTCAGAAGACTCAGAAAGCATAGATGTAAAAAGCTCTCCAGTGCTGTAACACACGATACCAGAATTTCAGCTTTGGCCACAATACCGTTGTCACCCAAGAAACATACGTGGGCTGGAGATGAGTTTTTATATCTTCGGGCACGGTCAACGTGCATTGCAGCATCCCTAGCAATGGGTGGGCAAGGCTACGTACTTTAACACATTCCGGACCGCGTGACACACATGGTGTGTCACGACCTTCAGGGCCAAAATTTTCTTATGATTTGACTGTTGCGCAAATTCTCTGAGTTTATATATCCTGTGTGGGTGCGAATTTCCTCTATATCGGGCTGGCCATAAAAGCTCCGGTATTTCATTTGTGAAAGCATTTTGTTAAGTGTAATCATTTAAAACCGTCATGCTCTAGACAATGCATGCGCACTAAACATTTTGGTGAACTAAGACTGATTACTAAGGCGCATTCAGTGTCCGGATCAGTGATTTTTATGGCAACAGCTCTGTAGCGTCGTCCATTTGGCGGCCAGTGCAGGCGCCAGTTTGGCGCCGCGGCCTTTTTCACATGATCCAATTAATTTGAACATGAACGCCGCAAAGCTTTTGTGAGAATTTTCTTTAATCAGTTCGTTGTCGCTCGCTTGTCTGGACAAAGTCTTATAGCTTAGTGGCAAACCACTGTTCTGAAACTGCATTCCTCTAGAAGCGGGGCAGCTGTTGCCAACGTTCAAATGATGTATGCAGGGCGGGAACCTCCATCTCTTAGAACATGGAATAGAAAAGCAAAAGAGCTTTGGCCACAATCTGCTCATTTACTCCCTTTCAGGTAGCCGCATACTGTATTATCCCTCTGTATGTCCTCGTCTAGAGCTCTGTGGGTCATTGGTGTGAACATTGCTGATCGTGAGTTGTAGTGGAATTGCCAAGGAAGTAATTGACTGCTATCGCCATTTTTCTAGTAAGCAAAGGAAGGTAAGCAGAAAATGTTGGTTACATGTAGATGATCAGTTTCCTTGCATTTATTGCGATGTGTTTAATTAATTGACAGCTAGTCACAGCACCCTGTGTAAGGATTCCCAAGACCATTTAACTGGTGATGAAAGCCCGAAACAAGTTTCCGCTTAAAATAGGCTTGAAAGTCTGGCAGTCAAGCTATGTGACGAGGCAGTAAAAGTATTACCAACCTAATGAAACAATCTTGTCCGAGAATACAGATTGGCATTGTGGGATACTGAACCTCGAGAGCAATTACTGCAGGACTTGGAGCGTACGAGAGGTCGAGGCCTGTGAAGTGCAAGACTATTCACATATGTATCAACCTTGCAAGAAACAAACTGAAAAGAAATATGGGTAACAGGGTGGAAGGGTGTCTCAAATTCTCAGCTAGCAGAGAAACAGACGCCAAACGGAACGGCGTTGGTGGAAACCGCATTCAGATCCACTATTTTTATAGGATGAATGGCCTTAGATTGCCAAACAGATATTTTCCGATTTTTTTCAAAAAGGGTTGTCTTAATTTAGAAAGATGCCCCGCGATCTTCGGGTATAATTGAGAATATTTAGAGCATTCAGCGCGCGCTCCTCGCCTCCTATGGGGTATATAAAGCCCCATTATTTCATTAATAATTGATCATGGCTAAAGTTACCAACACCAATGTAGAGCAATATTTTTCTACGAGCGGCGCCATAAAACTAATGTAGCTGCTGTAGCTCGAAAATTCGACGACGCATTCGGTGAAGGAACGATTACCGATCGTACCGTACGCAATTGTTATAACGCTTGGAGGATGGAGAGACGGGCATGTAAGATCAACCTCGTAGTGGACGTCTTCTAGTGCACGAAGCCATTAGAGAGCAGCCATACGCCAGCGTACGGGATTTGGGAAGCATGTTCGGATGCACGCATACGACTTTTGAAACGGGCGTTGTGCGGGCCGGCTGGTTGAGGAAGTTTGAGCGAAGAGCGGCGCTCTTCATGAGTGGATCGACTGGCATGAGATGGCCATGCTGACTATCGGTCTCGCTCTCTCGCCACTTCGGACTGGAAGACCAGAAGAACCTGATTCTGGAGCATTGGAGAGTTGAAATTTCTACGGTGCCAACACTTATCGCGCTGTTTGGCTTCTGCGCAGTGGAGAAACACCAACGCAGCCGAAGTCCGACCCCACACAAAAGGGTTTATTTCTCTCGTGTTTCTGTCGGTATTCCGAAAGGAATGCTGTTACTACGAGTTGGCTGAACACAGTAGCAGACTATCACCGGCTATCGTGGTATGCTGATCTGACTCCATGAGATTTGGCGCGAGTGCTGTTACGAATAAAGCGCCCAAGAAAGAGCTACCACCCACCTTCTCTATGACCACGTTCGACCTCATGTCGCTTCGTGAAAAATTGATGGAGCTCGGATGGCATACTGTTGCACATCCACCCTACTCTCCGAACCTTGCGCGGTCAGACTATCATTTGTTCAGACCGTTCTGAGCTTTCTTGTCCAAGAAAACTTTTGTTAAATATGATTTATGTAAGCTTTCTTGTCCAAGAAAACTTTTGTTAAATATGATGATGTAATTTGGGCAGTCACCGAGTTCTTCGACTTCCAGACTCCAGCATTCTGGGAGAAGGGGATCGGTGATTTGCCTATCAAGTGGAGTGGTGTTATTGCCAATGACGGTGGTCATATTGCTCGTCATAAAAAAATACAAAAGATTGAAAAAATTCTAATATACTCATTGCCAGTCTAATATAAGGCATAGTATGCATGATATAATGTCGCAACGTAAGATTTTGAAGAAACTCAAACATAGGAAATTCCAATACCAAAAATTTTTTGCACAAGTTTGTGCCGTTTTCTTGCGATTTCGCGTACAATGCAAGAATGAACGGGAAGTTCAGACAGTTTGCAAGAGGTTGAAGGCAACAGGCAGAAAATGTAGAAAAGATTCCGGTTCCGCACGCACTCTTGAAAGATCCAGAAGGCAAGTAGAAACAAATTGTCCAATCTCATCTTCGCCGTCATCATTATTCATCGTTTTTAATCAACATTGTCACCATTGATGAGAATTTTGTTTTCTCAGAAAAAGCCTATTTAAAACAGCGATTATTCCCGGAACATTTATTTATTGACATACACCCGAAGGTGTACCACATGGTTTGGACAAAGAAGACAGACCCAGTAATGGCACAGCGAAATAAAAAAATCACAAAAAAACAAACGCGAACAACAATATAATGACATGAAAATAAGCGAGAAAATCAGGAAAGCTCTAGGGAAAGCATATAGGCTGTTGAAACCATTTAAGGAATTAGAAACCTATTCCCTAATCTTCAGCCTGTCCTTACATAACAAAGACAATTGTTTTTAGGGTGCCATTATGGGCTGGTGTTTTAATAACAATCATCGATACATTCACCTTTCTATTTATTGACCGCTACGGTGTGCGAAAATTAGAAGTTGTCTTTGGGTTTCTTATTTCTACTATGGCTATAACATTCGGATATGAAGTGAGGTCGTTTGTAATGTTCCATAATTAAGGTGTCCCAGAAATTCGTGATAGTTTTTTGAATCCCGTGGCACCTTCTTCTTGCGATTCCGAAGAGCAATCATAGGTTGTAAGAAGAGTGCAATACGTAACACAGACAACTTTCCACACAGGGAGATCTGCGGCCTGGGTTACGGTACAGTGAAAGCCACATGCAACATCTGCCTTGCTTTGAGTTAGGCCCTAGCGCTATCTTTTACAGTACTGTATCGGAAATGTCCAATCACTCTTGCTGGGATAATCTCGACCTGAGAGTCAATACTCGGTCAGGGAGGCCGTCTACATTGGACTCGGAGCAGGGTATAGCGCCGTGATATGTGAAATAGTGGAGTCAGTCCGACTCCCCTTCCTCTCGAAGGAGCGTCCGATACGACCCCACCCAAGGGAGGGTCTTGGTGCGACCCCTTCCCAAACACCTACCCACCGATTTCCCCACATTTTCCAGTTTTTCATCCCAAAAATTTTCCGTCGAGCGGGGGAGGGGGGGAGGCGTTGTGTGGTACACATGAAACAGGGAAAAATCACGAAAAATCAACAACCAGGAAAAATTTTTTCCCAACGCGGCAAATTTCTCTCAAAGCCACATACGACCCTCCCTCTCCCAACAACGACCAAATACGACCCCCTCCCAGCGGCCAAGTACGACCCCCCTATGTGTTTCACACAACGATGCTGTACCCTGATTCGAGGGAGCTGCGCCCTCTTCGCAGTGCTGGTATGATGTAACAACTGTAAAGGTTGGCCGGAACCCAACATTTGCCCTCACAACTCCATTTGTAGCGCTCAATTCTGTCTATAAGAGACCCCACTGGTGGCCGAAAGTGGCCGAGAATGCTGGGAGCACATCCATAATTCGTTCAATTATTGGCGGCAGTTCAGGGCTGGAACAAAAATTCTGAAAACATCACGAACTTTCAGGACACCCTAGTGCATCGCTACAGACTACGTATGAACTCTCGAACGTGTTGCTGTTACAGTATTTTGTTGTCGCACCACCGCTACAATCCGTTCTAGCGGGTGCGTTCATACCGTGGTGTGAAGGATGCGGCAGGGACCAGTTTCTGCAAGGAATCTCAATCGTTGGAGCAGTAATCATGCCACACAATCTCTACTTACACTCAGCTTTGGTCAAAGTATGTTGCTTTGCCCCTTCAGATATTACCACATTACTACATAAGGTTCGAGCCCTTTAAAACTACTGAACATACATGAGCTGAGACGAGCCTCCCCCACGGTGGCGGGGCATGCGTCAAGGTGAGCGGAGTCAAAGACAAAAGTTCAGGAATAGGTTCCAGTACATCCCAGAGAATGAGAAACAAGTTGTAAAAAGTGACTAGGGGATTATCAAATGGTATGAAGATACGTATGCACTGGTCAGAGCATGAGTGTCTTGGGCAGGACAACGTCAAGGAGTCGGAAATAGTTTTAAGAATATCTCTCAGACCGGAAACAACGAAATAAGCGAACGGGTCCAGTTGTCGAGGCGTGCGCACATGTGGGTGGGCTTGAAGCAAAAATTCAGTATGCACTCACAGGGTACTCCAGGGAAGAAGAACTGGGGAAAGGCGAGACGAATGAGGTCAAGTTAAGGTTTGAGTTCTAATCGCATGCTGTGGATCGTTACTGATTTAATCGGACGGTTTTCTGCATGAGTCGCGAAAGGGTGATACTATGGAGTGGGTGGGGTGGAATTTAGCAGTCTCATTCAATTGGTTACGGCAGCGCTTCGTTTTGTCACATGGCCAGCTTCGGCGTGGGAACTAGTAAAATCAGCATTCGAAATATCTCGAAACTTTCCCGAGAATAACTAAGGCCTTTTTCCGTAGCGACCAAATACGAACTCAAGGGGACTCAAGGCCCCATTGGGCCCATAGTCCGTATAGGGGTGGCTCATAAGTAATGGCGTTTTTTCTCATCCGAAATATCGCGCTAAAGACGGAAAGTTCCGCCATGAGTGATTAAGATTTTAACATCGACCCCGCAGACAAGCATCAAACCTGATGCCCTATTGAGTTCAACTGAGTGCTCAGAGAATTACCTCATTCACGAAGATTCCTGCCAAAGATTGAGTAATCATCGAGTCTATGGAATGTTCCTTATCATCATTAACCATCACCCTCAGTTGATGTCATGTTCAAGAATTAGTGGGCAGGTTCTGCAGGCAGTCCATCCTCGAGACGCGAAGCTCTCTTACAAGGTCCGAATCTTGATCGGTTGAACCAACATTAAGCTGTCTTGAGACGTATCTTTCCTTGGTCATTTATATTACAAATTTCGAGCTTCTACTGTAATTTTGGGGCCGAGATAAAGTGCGAAAACTCACTTTTGTGAGACCCGTTACTCCATTTCAATGGAATAAAAATCGGCAGAAAAAGAAACACTAGAAAGACAACTATGCCATCCTGTAGAGCAGAACATTGTCTATCAAGTAGTGCAGCACACATTGGGAACAACTGCCATTCTCCGTATAGAAATTTGTGTGAGAAAAACGCCCATACCCATGGGCCACCCCAACAGTTACCCCTGACGGTAGGCTGTTCAGGACTTTGTGACTTCCAGCCGTACTTTGGAATGAACAATCAGAAATTCGGCGAATAGAATTCTTTTTTCAAAGTTTTATTGTTCCTTTTAGTCGCGACGTGTGGATCGCAGCAAGAAGGAACGGGTAGAGGAAGCGAATTTCTACTTTACAGTTGAATCTGCAATTGCTTTGACATGCAGCTTTTTCATAAACGTCTTTGTTGTTGCGGTGTTTGCCCACGGATTTTACGAGAAAACAAACTATGAAGTGGTAAGATTATTTGCTTAGCAGCAGTTGTTCAAGAGAGATCATTCACGACGTGCATTTACTGTTCTTGTATAATGAAGGGGGCAGATGCATGGCTGCGAAACTGACGCCCTCAAGTAAGGCGAAAAAAATTTCACTAATATTTACATCTTCAATAGTTCAATGAGAACATCGTAAATTTATCTTACATTAGACTGTTACTTTCCTGATTTGTGAATGTTTTAAGTTGACAATGTGATTTGTGCGCGAATTTGCATGGTTTTTATTATCATTAAGTTGCGCTACTGAATCTCTAAATACATACTTGATCTGGAAACAAGTTTCACGATTAAATGCAGTGGGTTGTAGTGTTCATTTATGAACCTGCTGTCGCTAGGTGACCCTCCACTAAAGAAAAGAAAACAAAATCCATCGAGGAGGTTCTATTAAGTCATCCCATTCAAGCATAGTGGAGACATATAGAGGAATGGCAGGAAAGCGAAGGGTACAGGGCAGCGGCGGACCACTATACCATGGAAGCTAGTACCTTTGGCTGTGTATCTGTGAAATTTGGCGAACCTAGCCACAGAAGAAGTTCTCGAGAAATTGAAAAGAAGCCCGAGTGGTGAAAATCAGCGCCGGATTTTCAAATCAGGCGTCATAAGAGGAAAGTGCGCCGCTCAAATTTGACCTGTGCCAGACCAGCAGTGCGCGTAATGGTGTTCTCGAAATGCAAGGTGGAAGATTTGGTTCAGGAGCCCGAAGAAGGGAGAAAGGAAAAAATTGTTGTCGTGGATGGTCCCATAATGTTCATCCTGCACAAGAAAAAAGGGTGGATGAAGTCAAGCGCTGAATGTCTGATCACAGAGGCTGGACCCGAGCTTCCCCGTGAGACTGACATCCCCGCTGTTACTCGAGTTTGTCCGATAATTTTAGGATGGTTAACAGGGTGTGTAGGTATAGGTACCCAATTTTCGTGTAGAAGCAGGAACGCAGTATTCTACGCCTGTAGCAGTAATGTTCTACGCATGGGATGTCATTCATGTGGAAACGCCCCCTCCCCTCCCCGACCTTAGACGAAAATGGGTGGTATTGAACTTCGAGCTAAAACTCACAAGCGTGAATTTTGTATGAATGCGTATCAGAAACCGACCCAGTTCTGCCATAAGGAATTTCGTAGGCCCAAGTGGATCATCACCAGTGCGAAGAATTTCTGAATAAGGCTCTCGAGCAGCTCTATACAGAGAACAAAGTCGTCGCTGTCGGTGTATATTGCCTGTTCCTCGGCAATCAGATCGACAAATGGATGATACCACACAACTACAAGAAGGCCACCGTTGCTCGTCATAGTGCCAGACCCCGAGTAACTGTATTGTAGGGCAGTGCTGGGACACAAACAATACTGAGACCTGAGTTCAATCGCCTTATTGGCCTACAGCAATTGTAAACAAATTCAAAACAAACAAATTTTTTTTATTGACAATTTCACTTGTTTTGGTCCGTCGAAGGTACTGTCCACGGCAAACGCTACAACGTTTTGTCATTCGCCAAAATTGGCATCAGAGCAATTTACTCACACTTGTTGAAAAAACGAAGGTACCAGAGGTCCAAACGCTTTCGGGCACTGGGAGCGGGTCATTGATGAAGGAGGGACCTACTTGACTTGAAGCCAAAATATCACTTTTTTATCTGCTTTCCTCTTCGTTTTATATGAATAAACCTTCCACGTTTTTGAACGAGATGACCAGTGGAGATCCCCTCGACAGATGCAGTATCATTGTGCGATTTTTACGGACCATAAAAAGTACCTGAAAAAACGGAATATCGTCACCTGACCTAAACCCCCTCGATTACCCGGTCCGAACGGAGCTCAACAGGGTGGTCTACAGTGGCGGAGAAATCAACGATCTCGCTGAACTCAGGCACCGAATCACGGTCGCGTGGCAGAATCTCTCGATGGCGCTCGTCCAGAAGGCTGTGGCGGAGTATCGTGATAGTGTACAATGTGCTGTTGAATATGGTGGTGGAAATGTCCAATCAGAATTAATAAAGTGTAACTTCTATCGCCCTGGAAAGTCGAGGACGAAAAATGTCTTTTTTGCCCTCTCCCCCTGTATATGTAACACCCAATTTATATTTGTATTTCACGCTATTTTCAATCTGTAGCTTACAAGCACCTTCCAAACAGCACATATTTACTTCGCATTTCGCGCATTATGAAATATGCAAAACATGTATTCCTCAAGAACTTTTCTCGAAGCTGCGTTTCAGAACAAAATGAAACATTTCGTTTTCGGTTATTCATTGCATGTTGCCTCCACCATCCACTCACAAAAATTGTTCTGAGAAAGCACCCCACGTCCTGAATCATCTCCCAGAATCAGTCCAGTAGCTTTCTTTTTATCTATCTCACTGCCTAAATCTAATTCAGTACTGTCTAGCGTACGGCGTGCGATGCTCGGCATGGAATATTCGATCCGTATGCTTTCCCATACAACAACGAGACTGCCACTTCGGATATCTATAAGGTTCACTGCGTTTTCAGAACATGGCGATGTAATTGAGAATTTATCTGAAGGCTTATCTATGACGAACAGGGCAATTATTGAAGTAGATGTTGAAGAAAGAGTGCTAACAAAATTATTTGCCACTCATTCCAACACTTAACAAACTTTTAATAATGGCTTATTATCCGAGATGACAAAGTGTTTAGGGCGGAATCTTCCTCGGATGTGAATTCGGTTTGGCAGCGCCTCTATGTTTGGGCAGTCGGCATTTTCGCTGCTGGTCAAAGTTCAACGATGACCGGAACATATGCCGGCCAGTTCGTTATGGAGGTGAAAAGATGTCTTATTTGAGGGAGTCTCGATATTTTTGACCATTGATATGGACTTTGTTTCAGGGCTTCATTCAAGTTTCGTGGCCAAAATGGAAGAGAGTTCTGGTAACTCGAAGTATCGCTATACTACCAACACTGGCAGTGACCGTCGTTGCCAACGGTGTTCGCAGTTTAACTGGTTGGTTTTGAAACTAGCTCAAAGTTGTTCTTCCATCCTTATCTATCGATGTAATGTTCTAAGGTGCTGGTGCCATCCATAGAGAAGCGCAGCTGGGGCTTCTCAAAAGCTCGCCCATTTCACGGAAGCCCATCGCTTTTGAAAAGTCTTCCAAAGCGCC